GTACTTGTATATCCCCCAGCTCTTTGTAAGGATGATGCCCATAAGTGGTGTGGCACAAGCTGAATTCCAAGGTAGCACCAGTGATCTAGAAACCAGAGGAATACAAAGAGTTATTTATTTCCCCTCTTTCTGCCCAGGTAAAATTCTGCTTGGTGCAGTGCAGGCTACACTGAAGGCAGTGCTCTGAAATGTGCAATAGATTATTTTTGCCTTGTTGTTGCCAGACATAGCAACAGTATTTGAAGACAAAGGACATCAAGCAGTAAAATATGCCAGATTTGAGTATTTGACCAAGATACTAATAAAGCTGGCGATGTTGGCAGGGACGCATGCCAGGGAGCTCACATTGCAAATGTATGCAGATGACTTTTTTCATATTGAAATTACCATTCTCTTTTCCTGTCTGTGAACCAGAGGGAGAAGGTGCCGGCCTTTTCAAGCCTCTAACATTTGAATTTATGAGCATTCCATCCATATTTTTGGATGGGGAGAACAGCCATTGCTAATCTTGCCATTGCTAAAATTAACTGACATCTTCGGCCACGTAAGCTGCTTATTCCCAAAATGTCAAGTCACTAGGGACACTTGCTGCAGACAGAATGTTAATGGAGTATTTATGAGAACAGGCTTTAAGTATGGGAAATGCTAGGACAAAGATGTAAGTGTTTGAAAGTCATCTAATTACCTACAGTGCCAGCCAGAATGTCCTGTAACAGGGAACCTGGTGAGACACCTTTTTAAAAAGGAGGCTGAAAGGGATTGTGGAAATTTGAGATCTGTCCTGCACGTGCACAGAAACAGACCGTTGAGGCAAATCTGTCTCACATTCCCAGTGGTGTGGTCAAGGCATATGATATTTCTGATCTGGCACTTCTTTCCTTCCTGTGGCCTCCAAAGTCCGTTTGGGAATAGTGCACCTCTCTCCCTTCACACTACCCTCAGTCTTTCTTAAAAAGAGAATTAAAAAAGAAAGACTTAACACAAAAAGCCCCCAAACATCACCCTCTTTGACATTTCTAGAAGGGATCACCAGATGATCCAAATTGTTATTCTCCCTCYTCCCTTCCCCAATTATTCTAATTGAAATTAATACATTCTAAATAATATAAATGTTGATGTAGCTTGGTGATGAGCTTGGTGATTCTGGTAAGCACATATGCTAGGCAACCTTGGATATGACAAGTCAGAAAGGGTCTGCAGAAGCCAWCATGGACATCTTAATGAGGCTGTTGCCTTGGGGAAACCAGACCGGCCTCTGTAATTGGGGGAGCCAGACTTAAACGGCAGCTGGCCAAGTGCAACTCTAATTACTGGAGCCACTTATGTAAAAACCTCAGGAGACATGACCGGGTTTCAACAACAGATGATTTGGAATAAGTAAGTACTGGATACTCAGCTTTGTTTGCTCTGGGCCATTTTTGATTTTGGCACATATAGGTGGCTCATGACTTAAGCTTAAATATGCTGTAATCGCTACCAATCCGTTTTTTTGTTTGCTCACAGCAGTAGAAAAAAAAGTTCATCCTTGTCAACTTCATTCCCCTGACATTTGCTTTCCTCAGTCTGTAAGCTCCTTTTGGAGGGTGCTGGATAGGCGGGAGTGTGGGGTTATTGAACTATCTGCCAAATCCTTAGCAAAGCTAGCCTTTTTGAAGCACATCTTAGAGTTGAGATGGAATTACATTGCACCCAGCACTGCAGTGTACAACACCTGCAATTTCATTATGCTTCTGTCTATAAAATGCATAGTGATATGTTGCCCAAAGATAGTGATGGAAGTAACAAAAGGAAACACTGAAATAGCTACAACTTTACATCTCATAAAATCTCTCTCTTCTACAGGATCCTTGGGAGAGTGGGCAYCTCGTCTGGCAAGTAAGCAGAGATGTTTCATGTAAGTAGAGGTTTTTAAGTAGTGTTTAAGCAGAGATAAGGTTGTCTGACCACAACATCCAAAGAATCCCTGTGTAGGGACAGTGCTAATAGAAACAGCCCAGCAGAGGCTGCTTTCCGAGGCCAGGGATTGTGGTGAGAAAGGCAGCGTCTCCCTGGAGAGTCCCCACCTCTTCTGCAGAATAATAGTGGAATGGCACAAATTAAGTGCCACAAATGTCATTTATTGCCCGTTGCTCCCAAAGTTATTTGCTATGTTATCTGTGCCACCCAGGGGGCACAGTATTTTTCCCCCTGATTCTAACATTAGAAAAATTACATAGCTTTCCTTAGTAGCATTTTTTAGCTTTCCATAGCCATTATTTTTCTATTATATTTTTCTCTTTTTTGATTCTTCCTCTTTTTCCCATTATAGATTTGCTGCCTGGATATCTTAACAAAGGCCAACCTCCTCGTTACTGATCTCAGAATTGTGTATGACATTATGACAATTTTATGCATACACATTTTCACATGGTTTGCTTCCACTTTTTGTCAGCAATTATGAGCTGTCATTAAAAGCATGAGAAATGATTACTGCGCTGTTAAAATTTTACATTGACAGGCAATCTAAGGGGAATAAGGAGGATGGAATGAGAATAAAAAGACTCAGAAAACAAATGTGGAAGAAGAGAACTGGTAAAAGGATGAATTAGTGGAAGAATATCGAGAACTGGGAAAAGCAATTCTTAGTCTCTTCAGTTCAGTGTATTCTTTGGTACAGTGGAGCCCTTGACAGTTTTCTAACCACTGTTCAAGTAAGGAAAAGGAGGATGCATCCCGAGCAGGATGTATCACACACTTTCAAGGGGACTGATTGCTACCACAGGTAAGTCATCAATACCATTGCTAAGTAAGTGTGAAATAGAATCACAGAATATTACTAGCTTATGACATTCCTGGGTAGGGAATATAAAGAAATAAAAATAAATAAATGAGAAAGGATCCAAAAAAATCCTCCTTTTCTTTTCATATACAGGTTGAATCAGTCTTCCATATAATCCAGTATCAGAAAGAAACTCTAAGCAAACAACCTGCTCCATCTATCATAACTGATCAAATATGTCATTGTCTAATAGCAAGAAGGTCGGAAGAAATTTTAATAATATCAGGTTATTGAACCAGTGAGATGCAGTAACACACCAGAGCTCTCCTTGCAGAACTGGATACTCTTGAGTTATTGCTAATTGGTGGAGGACAGTTGAATACCAGCCAGCAATGCTCCCTCATGGCAAAAAAAGACCAACARTATGCTGGGCTGCTTTAGGACACAGTCACAAGAAGGTCAAGGGTCTATTCAGCACTGATGAAGACATATCTGGAGTACTGGGTCCAGTTTTTGGCTCAGGGATACAAGCAAGGCAGATTTACTGGAACAAGTCCAGTGAAGGACCATGATGGTTTTTGAGGGAATGGATCCTCTGTCATGTGATGGGAGGCTGAGAGAGTTGGAACTTTTCATCCCAGAAGGCAGAGGCTTTGAGGGATCTTATTGATGTGTACAAAAAGCTGAAGGAAAGGCATAAAGAGGATGGGATCAGACTCTTCTTAGTGGTGCTCAGTAAGTGGCCAGGAGGCAAAGAACACAAACTGAAAAACGAGAAATTCCAGTTGAATTCCAATTGAAAACCCTTCTTTACTGCAAAACTGTATGAAGACTGGAAGAGGTTGCCCAGAGAAGTTCTGGAGTCTCCATCCTTGGGGGTATTCAGAACCCAATTGGTCATGATCCTGGGCAATCTGCTTWAACTGCTTGATCAGAGGATTGGACTAGATGATTTCCAGAGATCCTTCCAATCCCAGCTATTCTGTGATCCCATGAGGGTCATGTGCTCGTCTTTTCCATACTATCATAAGCAAAAAGAGCAAAGCCAGATTCCTGACAAATACTCAGCATACCCCACATGTGACCAGGCCAGCCTCTTATGATAATCTTTAATTTGTGTCACATTTTCTAAATTTCTTCCTCAGGTTTTTACTGTTTTTCAAAAGCCTCAGACCTGTCACAAATTGGAAGATGTAATAGTTGGCCTAGGAGGCCTGGAAAGAGGCACTGCTTCGACAGATAAAGATGGTGATCCAGGTCAAGAATGTGAATGTTCAACACAGGTTTGGACTAGAGAGTCCAAACAACAGTTGGACTAGGGAGTCCAAACAGCTTCAACAACGGTGAGGAGAGATGGAGTCTATTCCCACCTCTGCTGCTGCCCTGCTGAAGAAGTACATGAAGGTAATCAGACCCATGAAGCTAAATGGGTTACAGTAACTAAATAGTGAGTGTGCTAATGAGTGCAAGCTGAAACCTGAAATAATTGCTTACCTTTACAAGGAGGAGATTTGCCAAATATTTCATTACTGTGTTTGAAAAAAAGCAATTGATTGTGTAAGTTGACCGACTGGTTGTCTGTTTCTTGAGGCAAATGCATCTGAAYTGTGTGAATGGCCATTTCCTTTCAAAACCATGCTGTACATGTAATTGGAATCATTTTTTTTTTTTTTTAAAGTTTCCAAACAAGGATTTAGTATGGTTGTATGGCCAATTTGGATACTTTTGGCCTCCTTTTCTAGTTGTATTGTTTCTAATTAATTAATTCAGTATTTTCTAGTATCCAGGGGAAAATGAAATAGCAAATCTACTTTGCAACTCYAGGTAAATATACAGACCTCACTGTAGAAATGAAAAAAACCTGCTCCAAAGGTTAGAGTTTCTACTCAGCTAGTGCCCTATTTTTGGCCTTTAAATTTTTATGCATATTTTTATGCACATGATTTGTTATATTAAACTCAATCTACAGTAGTACTTCCTTCCATCTGCCTTACTTTGTGGCTTCTCTTATCTCTGCTTTAGCCATAGAACAACAAACACAATGTCCAACATCATGTCCATCAGCAGCTTTCATTCCAGAAATTGAAATTGCCTTTTTTTGGATGATAGACACCCTACGTACATTTGACTGAGGAGAAAAGAATTGTGATCAAGAGTCACCTGAGTGTATGTAACATACTCTGTGGGAAAAAGTACATATCTTGCAGAGTAAAAGAAGGCATAAATCCATGCAAAATATAACAAACACCAGCTGCAAGAAAAGGTAAATCCTCTAAAACAGGTTTTTAAACAGTGATAAACTAAGAGTACACAGGATTGATAGCAAAAGCCAAGTCGCACAAGACCTGTCTTTTAAAGAATTTCCTGTGTGCCCTCTCGCCATATCAGTAGCATAACTGACTTTGGCTTTAAATTTTTCTAGCCAAAAAAATAAATAAGTGATGGAATTGAATTGGCATGCYAGTGATTTAGAATTAGTTTGTACCCAGCAAAGGGCAGGGACTTCACTTGTTGAATTCAGTCCCAATTCAGATGTTTTATATTGTTTCAAGGCCTAAGGAATGAGCAAGGGGATACCAGTTCATTAGAAACCCTGTTCTACAGTCTCATATGGTTTAGAATCTGCTAAAATTTGGTCAATGGATTCTTATCACTTGCATGCAGTTGGAAGATTTTATACATAAACATAAACACACACACACACACACACACACACCCCAATATATATAAAATACAAATATATGCCTGTTGCCTATCAATAAAGACAATGGATTATTTAATTGAGTAGAATTTAAGCATCGTAAGATGTCAGGTGAAGTAGTGAGTGCAGGGAATTCAACAGGAAAATGACAGATGAGTTCAGTGGAGCAAGGTTTCATCCATATATACTTCTTGATGACGAGGAAACCCTTTGGAATAATGGAAGAGAGCTATATATCTCTGTGCTAGAGAAATCTTCTATTCATATAGGACATTTCCTAACTGTGGCTGCCATGGCTTAYCTGAAATAGGAAAATTGCTGAGACATTGCTATTTTCATCTTCCTAATTTCAACTCCTTAAAAACAAAAAATAAGACAGAAAACCTATCACAGCAAACTGACATCTCCAGGTGCTGGTAAATAATATTGACTTTTGAGGATAAATTTCTCACTTTCTAATCACAGATGCTTATCATATTAAGTACCATGTCTCCAATATTCAGAAGTAATGAGATTCAATTATTTTCCTCACCTAAGTGTGCTTCAAAATCTCAGCTGCTCACTGAAGGCAAGATTCAAACCTTAACAGTACTGAAATGGGGAGTACAGAGAGATCTGAATAACATACTGGAAGATAGAGGGCTCCAAGTATTTATTTTATGCTACAGAGATCATCAAAAGTCTCTATAAAGAAGAGAAGGTCTCTATACAAACAGAATGTGCATTGCACAGATGATAGTAAACACATATCTATTCCCCAGAAGCTTTTAGATCTGCCTGTGGATACTGTCTATTTTTTTTGCAAAATTGCAAAATAAGAGATTATTCTCATGCACTGTTGCATTCATTTCACCATGAGTTCAAATACACTATAGAGCTATCCCTCAGTAAGTGCTTATTTCTCCAGCTTTCAAACTCCCAGAGTGGCCTGACYGAGCACTGACATATGCTTCTGTTTTCTTTTCTTTAAATATAGACTTTCTTTTGCAGCTTCTCTATTTCACYTGGGTATGTGTGTGCTTCTATTTTTAGAATGACAATGCTAAATCCTTTTTGTTGATCGTTAGTAAACCTGTCTGATTAGCTTCCTAATCTAGATGCTAAATTTTCAGAGCTACTGCTAGCAGAACATATGCTCAGTGATTGCAGTGTTATTGTGTTTCCTTAGATAATTTTACAGAAGACTCTCAGATTTGCTATGTTAATTTAATTTGATAGAGACTTGGCTAGCTCTTTTCATTTCGCTTTTACATTATTTCTTATGTTAATTAACAATATTCTGTTCGCTGCATCCAAAGAAACTGAGAAGTGTGCCTACACCTCAAAGTAAATAAGAATATAAGAAAGGAGCCTCTTCGTGGCTAATTATAGCAAATACGAGAGAGAGCTGAAGCCTGAACTGATTTATGGACTAGCTAGAACCATGAGTGCATCATGTACTCCACCTACTGTAAGTCAATGAATTTCTAAAGCCTACTGGAGTTAAAAATCTACAGTAGTTTTACATTTTTCTTTTTCATTAGAACAGAACACTCAGTCAGGAAGTAGGAAGTTATTTTGCATTGCTATGCCTTTTCTCATGTTAGGGGAAAGAAAAAGAGAATCTCCTGAAAGCCGTATAAGGATAATCTTCATTAAGGCATTATTAACAAGGCATGTTATTAGAACTGTTAAAGTCATTGCCCTTGATTATAAATGAGTAAATTAGTTAATGAGAATAGTAGTTAATTGGGGGTATTATTGCCAAACTGGGAAATTATATGAAAGTTAAATACATCACAGTGGTTCTTCTACACAATTAAATATCTCGTAGGAAAGAGATRAAGGAGGAGAGTGTAGGAAAGTAACAGTCATAAAATAGAAGTACATTTTAGAAAGTGTATTGCAAGAGTCTGTTAAATAAAACTGAATAAAAGTCAATGGTGCATTCCATTCACTATTTCGGTGAAATTCATGTGAAACTGCCTGCAAGGTAATAGACAGAAAATCTCAAACACCAGCACAGTGGCAAAATGCTGTGCTGTAACCATAGGTTCATCTGGTTGGGTTCRAAATTTGCACTTTTACCCTTGCTTTAAAATCTAGACCTTGCGCCTGTGCTATTTCAAGCTTTTCCTTACCATGTTGATGAGTTCTGCACATTGTGATAACAATGGTCACTTTTGGGAGCTCTTTGCTGGAAGGGTTATGTTTTGCCTTGTTTTTGCAGGCTGAATGGCACTTTTTTTCTTTTCCCAGCTAGCTCTGCTGGAAATTATTTGCTTTCCTGCCAAGAACGTTTTGTGAGGGAAGATCGTGCTCAGACATGAATGCGAGTGTCTAAATCTGGTCCCAATGATTTGACATCCCCAGGAAGATACTGGTGAATTGGGGTCAAGAGTAAATGGTATTTATCCTGCAAGACTTTCTTTGCAAAACACCTCGTTTTATTTGGAGAGCTTTTATCCAGGCTGAAATGCAGTGTATTGGGGCATACTTATTTATGCTTTAACAACACTCTCTACGGACAATCTGTAAAGGCTAAATCTATGCTGTTCAGTACTAAACAGAGCCGTTTTTAGCATCCCAAGCATTTCTTTTAGGCAGCTGTAATACAGTCTGAGTTAGTTGTGATTGGTAACCTAGTATCTCACCTGCAGCAGAAAAGGTCCTTCAGAAGAGAACATTGGCTTGTCACATGTGCCAGACATGTAGGTTCCCACAATACTAAAGAATTAAGCACCATGACCAACCTAACAGCAAACAGGCAGCTTGAAAGGTCCATGAGAGTAGAAGCAAAKCTTAAATACACTCTTGAGAAATACCATCGACACCCCTTTGGGGCTGAAGTGCTTCATCATAACGTGGACAAACTGCTTGCTTGTCTTGAAGTGTCCCTAGGGGCCACTGTCTGTGACTGTGCGGTGATATCCTACTGGATAGGATAATACAGGGTAAAGGACTGATGCTTATATCTGAGGTCATGCTGTGTATGATCATTACAAAAGGAAATCAGTGMAGCACATGTTATTAAGGGCAAAACAGGAGAGTTTTGACTCCAACATATTCCTTACAGTGCCCGTGTGCAAAGTACCTGCATTCCCAGTGCCTTTGACCTTTATTGGGAAGACAGCTAGACCTCTCCCCAGGGGGTGGGCAGGCACTGCTAACCTGGAGATGAAAGGACTGGAGGTACTGCACTGGCAATACAATTTCCAACTCCAGCTAATCACCGTTTCAAGTCAGGAAGAGGCAAAATACAAGGCCTTCCTGAACTGCTTTTGCAAATATGTCATTAATAGCCCATGAAGTGTTTAAGAACAAGGTGCATGGTCGCTGTAATACTGAAAGCAATAGGTGTGACACAGATTGGGTCATCTGAGAGCACTGGCACTATTAACTGTAATTATTCATCTTTTATAAGGTGATCAGCTTGGGACAGACTGTCATTTATAGGGCCAAGTACGATGAATTACTAAGTTTCTAGTTGAAAYTATGATGAAAATACAGAAGGAGAGACCACATCCCACCTACCCTAGCTTTTCTCAGTGTTTTCTAATGAAGTACTTTCTCTCCCAGTTTTCCAGCTTTAGAAAGAAAAAAATACTCTGTGGAGTGTATTTTGGGGAGGGTAACCACAAGGCTCCTGCGGGACCCCCCAGAAACGGGTAGTTTTTGTTGTGTGTTGGCAAGCTTAGATTGAAGCTGCAAAGGACTTAGGCTTTCTTCAGTTTGAGAGCTGCTTTGAAAACCTGAAGATGCTGTAGGAGGGGGTGGAGAGGGAAGGGCAGGAGGCCCGTAGTGAACAGTGTTTTCCATTCAGCTTCAGAAAGCAAAGCCACAGCGTGCTGCCAATTTCCTGTCATTTGTCTGATGGTGGTGGCATGCTGTGGAGCACCAAGCTGAGCATCCCATAGATCTCTTGCATAAAAAAAAATGTGTGGGAAGATGATGATACATGTCTTGTAGCAAAACAACACATAAGGGCTTCATCACTAAAGTCTCTTTCTCTCCATTTTTCAGTGTTACCCTGAAGCAGAGTTCAAGTTTGTCATCCTAAAGCTACAGAACAATTTGGTTCTTGTGAGAGATAATAAAAAAGCCTGCCAAAAACACAATGTGGTGGAAAAATTAAATATCAGATCATAGCTCTGTGAAAAAGTGTAATGTGGATTATCCACAGATAGTTAAMTCCCATGAATACCGTGCAGTTGGGGCACCTCTTTTCTCTGATCTCATCTATTAGGGATTGTTCTGGTGATGTGTGCTTCACAGYTCTTTCTAAAAAAAGCAATTGATCAATATTTGCTCTTCCATTTCCCCACACTATCATGAATTATCGTTATGTTCTTTATATACTTGGTGAGTATAAAAATAAAAATACTAGAGATGTTGCTCTCCTCTTAGCCTCTCCATTCTGGGTTGCTACAGGAGTGGGTCATGRTTTTCTCTGCTAAGCTGAAAGCACAAGAGTGCTACTAAGTTTTTCAGTAATCCTTCACAACCATTTCCTTTTTAGCCTAAGCAGCTTTCAGCCTTTCAAGAGTCTTTGGCCTTTTATTCCTCAGTTATTTCAGCTGATRTCTAGAATATTATTAGGCAGAGAAAAAAAAAATCTGAGAAGGCTGCCCTTTGGGCCTCTAGCCTGCTGAGGGAAGGTTAATATATTAACATAAAGCAAAGAACTGACAGCTCTGGCCAGGCATTTCCATGGCCTCTTTCACTGCAGTGTCTAAATGCCTCACAAATATCTGTGAATTTATTCTTACTGTCCCACAGGTTGCTTCATAAAGCATTGTTGTTAACCCCAGCTTAAAATGCTGAGAGATATTAACTGAATTTTCCCAGATTATGCCAAAAAATTTACAATGAAGTAGAGAAGTCAGCTGAAGTCTGAGTCAGAACCCAGCATTTCAGCATGAGACCTGTCTCTCAGCATCTCCCGTGCTTYCCTGGTGAGGGTCCACTTGTTCCTAAAGAGGGAAGATGCCTAGAAAGGCTGAAGTTGATGGGACCAGCATAGCAGGGTCTCTTACGAAACTGGTCTAAATGTAACTTGGTACAAACATAAGTCTTTTTTTTTTTTTACAGGAAATTTTGACACATCTATACAACTAGAACCCCAGCTGTTGACATAGGGGAACCCATCATGGATTTCCTGGCATGTGAAAGAGGATCTTGATTGCAGTCCTGCTAGAAATAGGCAATATATCAACTGAAAAATAAATATTCTGGGTAACACTAACTCTGCATAAAACTACCTTGTATATATCAGCTTGCATCCTGAGATAAATTATACAGAAACTTGCTGAAGGCTGGCTGCAAGCTCACATAACTGAAGCTAATGGGCTAACTGTAACACAGCCTGGACTCTAGCCAGGATATAAAGCTGTGTTGCAGCATTGATAGATGATTTCCCAGCAGTATGGGTACAGAGTGGTCTCTTACCCTTTACTGTATGTTTATATTCTATCTTTGCAACGACAAGATACTTCTATTTCACCTAATGAGTGAGTTAAATTCATGGCAGCTSTTATGGGTGGAAGGCATCAAATGGGTAACAAGAGGAAACCACTCTTCCATCCTTCAAATTCTTTCAGAASACCCAGCTATTCCTTTTCAAATTGCAATGGCTCACATTTTGAAGTGGTGAGACTTTATAGACCAGGGACCATCTCTGCTTGTCTGGCAGAATGTCATGATGGTTCCACAGTGCTTGGTAAGATCAGCTTGATTTGAGCCTTAAGAGATATGGAATTTGAGCCTTATGGGCTCAAAAAAACTGACAAGATACAACAATTAGAGATCCAACTAACAAGAGATAACAAGGACAGCACTGGTGATCAAGAAAAAAAACCCCAAGCCTTTCAAAGAGACTACCAGAGAGCGGTCTCACTGGTGGAARGCATTCATAGTAAGCTGGCCAGCATGACAATCTAGTTCCTTGCTGGTGGTAAGATCTTATGTGCCATCTTTCATGGGTAATGTTTTCTTACATCTCCGTTTTCCTCAGAGTCTCTATCCTATCCTGATGGATAATGATCTATCTCCAGTTAATCACTTCTCTGAGGCCAGTTTGACGTCCTAAGGACACCTATTTTTTGACATGTAAGTTCTAATAATATGTTCTAAGTCATCCTCAGGGCTCCCATCCAACAGCCTTCTGCTCTCAGCAAGGCTTCTTAGGAGACTCCAAAAAATGTTTGAGAGGTGAGTTTGTACCTATTAAGGATCATGCTTTACCTCGCCTCCTTCAGTGTATTTAAGGGTTAAAAACTAAAGTAAAAACGTAATCCCAGAAAATCAATGTGCTTCCCTGAACGTTTGCCTTTCCTTGAGGAGCTGTCAGACAAAGAATCCCTGACAACAGTGATGCTGTTGCATACTGCATCTGCATTTCAAGATGCTGATCTTGGCCAGTGTCAGCTCTGTGGAGGATCATTCTTGAAATCCTCCTTCCTCTTAGCAAATACTTACCCTGCTCTTGCTTGATCTGGGCCTCCTAGYGGCTTTAAGTAACCAGATACATTTAGTTAACTAGCCCTATAGCTGCTGTTTTTGCTCCTTTTAACTGAAATAAAAGTGCTGAAGACATGAAGATATGTGTCCAGGCTCCACAATACCAGATAATTTTGTTCATATATCGAATATGCTTCTGGGCACCTCCACAAATATACTAAACTTTACTGTGCTATAAATGACACAGTTACCTTTGGACAATAAATATCTATTGCTGTGGGCACAGAGAGGGAGGCTGGATGACAGCACCTCTAGGGAGCATATCTGAGGTAGATGGAGTATCTATCTATGGAATATACCTTAGACTTGTATATACTCAGGTCCGCCAGAAAATGTCATGCTAGTCTAGATTATTAATGGTGCTTTTCCACCAGAATTCCTTTGACAAGGATTTTGTTTGAATTGTCATCAGGGCTCAAAATATAGAAAAAAAAAAAAAAGGGGAAAAAAAAAAAAAAAAAAAAAAAAGGTAAAATCCTTCCAAAGATTAGTGGAAAAATGATGGAACATTTGGAGTACCAGCAATTACTAGAGCACTGGGAGATGAGGCTTACATGTGCATGGTAATATGGAAAATACATTCATGGTAGACAAGATTACTTGATTTAGCATTCTGATGTTTCTTGCTCTTTGCTTATGAAGTAGGTGCCACTATTGCCAGTATCTCTTGGGGAAGACTGGAAGATAATGCTGGTGCCCTGGCAGAAATGTTGTGTTAGCTCAGATTCATACAGATCAAAACTGTGAGGTAGCCAGGTGTCTGAGGAAGACATCAATTCTTAATAATTTCTCTAGGAAAGGATGGCTGAAGTGTGCGCAGCCCAATCATTCCCTGGTGATGCCATCAAGTGCTAAAAGCACCCATTTCTGCAGGAGCAATTTTTTAGAGAGGCAGAAGTGTTTTAAATGTGTACATCCAGTAAGTAGTAATACTGCTTAGCGCGGGGTTTTGCCATTTCCATTCACAAGGGATCTGGGAATATTTCCCATTAGCAGCAATCTTCTCACAACAGCAGAGCTGCTATTTGATGCTGAAACTGCTATGACAGGTACTTAAAAATATAAATAGAATCGTGCTTCATAAATGTGGAAATATCACATGGTTGAATGCATGGAAGTGCTGAAGTGGGAAAAATTCCTTTTACTCTATAATTATCAGTGTGCTAATATTACATTAAATGCAGTAATGTCCTCTGGAAGTGGCAGGCCTTGCTAAATCCAAGAATGAAGCACTTGTGGCAAGCATTATGGAATTTAAATGATCATTATGATTTAATGACCAAATTTGTTCTCCCTATACATACAATAGTGGTGTAGATCACTATCAAGGCTGTATCTGTATGCATACCCAATGCACTTAGTCATTGGGGCAATGCAGGAGCTTCCTAGCTAGTCTCTGTGCAGATGAGGCAATGGATTGACTTGAGACAAGGTGATTGACTGATCCCCTACCTGCCTCAGAGCAAAGCAACTGACTGATTGCTACAGCTTTGCAGGTGGGAATTTCAAACCGTCTCCTGCTGTGCCTAGATTAATTGATCATCACTATTTGTATGCTTCACTGTGTTGATTAAATCATTTGGCAGAGAATCCGGAGCAGTTCCATGAATACCACTGGCATTTCCTGCTGTAGATGAAGGATTTGACCAGACTGCATAAAGGTAATTTTAAATAGACAGAATAAGATGCTTCTACAGCTGTAGAAATATTCTTAAAGATTTCAAGTCTCAACTGGGCAATTCCCTGTGCACTCTAAACTAACTTGACCTACTTTGAGCAAGGAATTGGGMTAGATAACCTCTATAGGACCCTTCCAAGCTAAATTATTTTCTATTTCTGTAGTTATATGTAGGACATTCTTTTGGACATAGCATAATAGATAGTAGTGAGATATTTTGTGCATCATTTAAAATAATCAATATAAATGGATAGTACCTGTGCTGGAATGGTCATATAGAACTGCAGGCCAGCTGACTTATGAGAAATCACCAGAACAGGAGGTTGTGGTATCTCACCCGATCCAACTGAAAGCACTGTTGCTGCAAGGACTCTCGCAATGCAAGTCTGCCATCTGGACGCTCATTCAGATAGCAACTGATCATCCTCCTTGAGTGATTTACTCCCCTCCACTGTTACCTTATGGGAAAGATTCTGATACACTAGTTTTTTGACAAATTCTCTATCTGTGCAGCAGTCTCCCATGTCCTTGTAACACCCGAATGCATTATTGGATATGTTGGGAGACACCAGAGTCTACATAGGACTTTTCTGTGCCTACCGTGTTATGCCTCTTGTTCTGCTTTGCGTAGGAGCACAAGAAAGGAGGGGTCTTGAGCATCAATAAATCCTGTGTGCTCCTCTCCTGTTAATAAATAGAATCAATTCAAATTCCTCTTTGTGAGACAGRGAATGGAGGAGTTGGGCAGTTGGTCAGTTCCAAGTGGTTTTCTTGTGGGTTGAATTTCTTCACCACCAAGATGCTTCTTTCACTATATTCTTTGCAATGGAATACCAATGAGTTTTCTTTATTAGAAAGAGATATAGGACTATCAGATATTGCTGACAGTTAAAAATTAAAAAATAAAGTTCAGTTTGCTTTCTAACATTTGAAGTAAACCTTTGACATAGCAAAAAGCCTATTTTCTTTTTTTTTGTTTAGAGGGGGTTAGCAGTGGGGGTTTTGTTTGGAGGGGGTAGCAGTGGTTGCATGTGGGTACCCAGAGAGTTGATGCAGGACCCATTTTGCTGTGCCTTCGATTTCCTTCTTATGGTGTGGCTGGCAGTATCAATACSTCCTTCCTGGTCCCTTATCCTTCCACCCAGCCACACGATCTTGTAGACTCCAGATCTTCAACAACCTTTCCTCCTTTTCCAAAATGTCCTTTTAACTCCAACTCACGCTATGCACCTTCACCTGCTTGTACTCCCACTATGACTTATCTCCACTGCTCTCGTCTTCTATTCCTACCAGCATCAATATCCATCAATTTCTTACCTCAACCATTTTCTCCTTGTCAGTTTTGCTAYCACGCAGCTGTGCTGTTCCTCTGTTTCTTGTTTTTGCAACAATTGTTCAGATTTTAGAAATGTTTAAAAGAAAAAAATATTTACTTCTCTTTTACATTTCCTTGTCTTCCTTGTAGTCTGGATACCACATTAGAGTACATCTCTGTGTTGAGATAAAGACTGTAATTAGTATTTCTGTGTGCTGAAAGAAATACCTCAAGAGACCAACAACAGAATTTATTTCCTGTCATACACAGACACATATACAACTATGATGTGTTACAAGATGTTCTGAATATTTCCTGCTAAAAAGACTGATGTCACATTCTTGCAACGCAGAATCATATTTCTTGGGAGTTATAGACAGATTATGCCAATGAAACTCTGGAGCCGAGAGTATCTTTATATCATTCTTGTGCAGTCTTCCCATTCCAGAGATCATAGCAATTTTTTCTCTTGAAATCCCAGTAATGCACCATTTTCAGTTATGGTGTCATTTCATGCAGTCTTGAGAGAGTGATAGACTTTTATTTTTGAAATACATTGTATAGAGTGCAAAGGTGTTATTTCCTATTTATAAAATAATATTTTTAGCTTTGGGAAAAWTTAATTTCTGTTTAATCTTCTGCTTCATACCTCTACTGATACTGAAAATCATTATCGAATGTCATTTGATGTGTTACCTCAAGCAGTGAATTACCCAAGCCAACTGAACAACAACAAACAGAATGAAAGCCAATCTCTGCCTTCAGATCTGTGTAATTTCACTGATATCAGTGCTACTAAACTTATCTATGCTCAACTTGAATTCAACCCAAAACTTTATTTAGTTGATTAGCAGGCTCTAGATTTACGTTTTCTGAGTCTGTTCCAATGCTGACTGAAATCAGTGGTAGGCTTTTGACCTCAGGTGGTATTAAATTAAGTCTTAATTCTTGGAGGTAAAATAAAGGTTAAAGGGTTTTTTTCCTGTGAAATGAGGAATACTGGGTGGTGGAGCAGGTTATGGTCCAGCCCTTCATGCTTCGTTGGATGAAGATATTTTCCCTGAATCTGGAGCAGTCATATAGGAGTGGTAAATCTGGAATTGCRTCCTTTGGCCAAATTTTGTGTTTGCTTTTTCCTTTGCAATTGGATTTTTTTTTTCCAGCTTCTAACCAATTCTAGCCTGTGTGATTGCTTCTTGTACAAAAGATGTTATCAATTTCTGATTATTCTTTTTACTTTTCTCAGAAACTTTCCTAGCTCCAATATAACTTCTCTGAGATAAGGAGATTAAAACTGCATGAAGTTTTCAAGATGTGGGCAAACCATGGATTCATAAGGTTGTACTATAATTTTGTCTATTCTGCGGTCTAATTTTCTTACTAATGATTTTTTTTTTTTTTTTTTTTTTTTTTTTGTGCTACTGAGCACTAAGCTGTTATTTTCATGGAACAAGCGCACTCCTGGTTATTAATGCTGAGCTCACAGCCCATCATTTAAGATTCGACATTAGAACTATTTTTGTCCTCTGTTCATCACTTCGTATTTATCCATATGAAAAAACACTGTGATCTGCACAATTACTCAGTCTCATATGTCCTCAAATTCATCACAGTCAGCATGTTAATGCATATGGTGACCAGAGCAGGTTCCAGTACTGGTGACTGAGGTACCCCTTTGGTTTCTTTCCTCCTTCTTTTTGACCRACTAATTGATACATCTCAGTACTCAGGTGTTAAGGGCAATTTTAAGCACATTTTGCACCATTGCTAGTAATTAAGCTATTTCATTATCAGGTTCTGCTGGATGAACAAAATCTASTTCTGGAAATTTGCTACTGTCCATTTTTGTCAAGGATGAAGTCTTGTCTTTTTTACAGTCATTTCAGTTTCATAAAGATTCTGTGATGAGTCCCCCCACAAAGAGTTTAAGAATAAGAATAGTGTCCATTTCTTCTCTTTTATGCATTGATACAAATCAACTATTTCCCAGTCTCCGTTTCATATATTGGTAAGATGCAATCTATGTCATGATGTATCTACAGGGCAATTTAAACACTCAGCAGGACACACTGTTTCAGATACTGTGGAAATATGGATCATTCTCTTCTGCTGTTTTTACAGGAGTAGGGTTTGTAGAATTCAGGTCTTTATATATCCATTCCATTTTTTTTTAACAATTCAGAAAATCCTAATATTCCTTTGAAAGTGCAAGCAATATTATTCAGCCTCTTCCCATTTCACTAGGATTCTTGCYGTTTAAATAGATTACCATGAAGTGATATTGGCACTTGCCATAGCAATTGTGTGGTGTACAACTCTCTCCATCAGCTGAGCAGGGGTAATTAAATTGAAAACCTGGCTGCATTAGTCTAATCCAATACTACCTCAAATTTTACAATCAGTTATACATCATATCATCTCATCTCATATCATATGTCAAATCAATACCTGTTTTCAGTAGAAAAATGTGCAAGTTGTGCTGRATATACGATTAATGAATTATTTTTCAGTATGGCATTTTGTACTATAAGTAATAATTACAGTTGTTTTCATCTGGAGTGATTACAGCTCAGTGAGGCTAGTTAGATAATTGCTCAAGAAAACAGACCTCAGCTTTGAGAAGAAAACATATGGAATATAAATTCCGTACATGTGGTAGGAAAAAAATCCACTTCCAACAGAAAGAAAAAGTGATGAAAACAGGTTAACAGAAAGACTTATTTATGTAAGATTCCAGACGCAAAGAAATATGTTTCCTATGTGGAAAAAAAAAAAAAAAACTTTTGAAACTTTCAGTCTTTGTTTTGGTCAATATGATGCCGCGAACTCCTTAAAATGACACAAGGGAAGGTGGCATAAACACAGCACTGTTATTACTAATGCATCATGTCTCCAGAGAGTGCTCAGAGGGAGCAAAGTGCTATGTATTTGGTAAGGTATGCGTGCAGTGAATGCATTTTATGATGCATTATGAAACATCATGAAAATGTGTTTTGAAACTATCTTGGAGTGGTTCTGATTTCCAGGAAAGCCTTTTAAAACAGAAAGATGTCTTAATTCAAGAATATGCTAAACTATAAATTCAGGAAGGAAGTATTTTGCACTTGATACTTGAGAGTGCAATTCCATAAAGCAAGGGAGTATATTAATTATTAGAGATGTGTTGTTAAAGGAATCCCTATTATAAAACCTTCCTTCTTATAGGAATAAGGAACAAGGAAACATGAGGAAAAGGAGATATTGAACAAAAGAGAGAAAGGAAGCTCCAAGTGGTGTCGCCCAGCTTCTTACCCTAGATTAAAAGACGATCTTCTATTTCATTCTTTGAATCTGCTATCTTGAATTTAAGCCATCAAACTTTTACAACACTAATAAATTAGCTCCTCAAGAAAGCCTTGTTTGCCTTTTAGAATTCAGCCCGTTAAAATGGCCACTTTAACTAAAGTGGACACTTTAACTAAAAGTGTCCACAAAGCTTGTTTAAAAACAAACAAACAAATGAGATATTTGCTTTTTTTTTCTTTTTCCCTCCCCCAAACTGCCTTGAAATAAAATCACAGCTAAGGCACAATGTGAGAATGTGAGAACATGGCTGTTTCTTCTACCTGTTTCTTCTACCAGATGAGGATCATTTTGCAAGGAAAAAAGAAGAAAAACAACCCTCTTTTGGGAAGGTCCATTAATAGCTGTGTAAAAATGAAATAGTTGACACACAGACACATTAGTATATTTTACTGCAAATTTTAGTACCTACTGTGTGCATAACAGGGCTGTGAAATCCATTCTTCAGCCAGACCTTGCAAGTGCCGAGGTGGCTGTTTTAGCAGAGCTCTCTGTAAACTCCTATATGGGCCCAGTGGAGGTCTGACTGAGTCTGGTCTGCAGCTGATGAAACACCATTTCCTCAAGCTGCTTTGCTGTGTGATCTCCAGTAATAATATTCGTGTTTGTGCCGAGCCTTTTAAACCACAGAATCTGCTATTTCTTTATATGGAGATAATTTCTACCTGCACTGAAACACAAAAATGGAAGTTTGAGATGTATTTTCAGTATTTTGAGTTCCTAGGGAAATTACTGATAGAATTAGCCTGTATATATCCAACTTCCARTAAATTAAGAGTACCTTCTCATATATATTTATTGCAACTACGTTGTGTCTTTATAGAACACAGTATCTAATGCTTGGCTTGGTACAGAGAAGGCAGATTAAGTCTAACTACCATAGTATTCTTCATTGGCTGAGCTACATCCTTACAGGGATTGTAATTTTGGCAGTGATGGCAACAGTAATTCCTCTAGTAAATCATAATGCACTCCCTAAATAGAAGAAGCTTTGCAATTTCCTCAATGAAAGGAAAAATAATTTTGCAGGATCAGTGAAGATAGCAATAATTGCTATAAGGCCTATTGCAATTTATGCAAAAGAACTACAGTTTCTCATGATAGAATATGAAAAGGAAGATAGCATGAAAATGGAGTCCATAATAAACATAAACCTAGCACAATTTAAAAGAAGTACTCTATATTGCTAAAAAAAAATAAAAGAATGCAGAAGTGAAGTGACTGCTTCAGAAGCAAAAAAGGCACTTCCTCGTGACAATAAAATCAATAATATTTTTCAAAATTCATTTAGACCTAAAGTGGCATCTCAACACCAAGAGATTTAAAATGTTCCAATAATTGCTTCTAACTGTGTTTGGTAAGTATCCTGTTGTCTACTTTCTTACTTTGAAGACAGCATGAAAGTGCACCAGAAATATTGCAAAATATTGAAAATCATTAAAAATAGTGATAATTTTGACAAAATTAACATTTGTAAGGTACTGTGTAAATATTGCTTTGGGGAGATAAAACTATCTACAAATTAATAATATGTGATAATAAATATTATTTACATGAATCTCCCAGACATATACTGCGTAATACAAAACACATATGGCTCATGTTATTGTATTGAATGTGCATAATGAAAATTTAAATACTTTTCTCTCTTTTATTAAGTGCTTTTTAGAATTACAAGATAGATTTCATTTTGTCAGCCTTGGAAGCATGGAAAATCTGAGGAACGTCTCTGTAAGGTGATTGTCACTATCCCTGCAAATGAAGAAATCTGAAAAGGTTGGTTTTCCATTAGAAGTTTGCTTTTGTATTTTAAGCTGCAGTTATACACTTGGCTAGGACAGGGATGATAAAAAGACATTTTGAATAACTGAACGCTTTGTTCTCTTACTCTTCTTCCACAATGTTAATTTTTATGAAGTCCTAAAATTATAGTGATCTAGGCTTGTATTTGTTTCAGCAACTTTTTTTTTTCTGAAAATAATTTTGATGTTTCGAGAAGGATGAAAACTTATATAAAGATCTAGCTGCAAATTCATTATATGCAGAATTATGTGATATTCATTAGTCTGTATGTAAACCTGTATTCTAGAATAGACTCAAATTCTGCCTTCCCACCATAGTTCTCTCATATGTGTGGAATTTATTTTTTGCGATCAAATCTTAATGCAGTGATAGAAAAGATATTTTTATTTTGTGAACAAATTTGGACTTTTCATAGTCACATATTAATTCTCTTAATGAAAAGCTCAAAATCATAGGTAATGTCATTTGCACATGTAAAGAGTTTAATTAATGGATTCAAATGGAATAAAACTGGTAAATACATTTTTTAATGACAAATTAAGTTTTATGACGATTGAATTTTTTGGAGTGAGGGACCTAAGTGAGAAGTGTATTTTTGAAGAACTTGACATGTTATGAAAAACAGTGTTTCCCTAAACATCCCTTAAAGTATCATCCTTTATTTTTCTGATGGTCTCTGATTTTAGGGAGAAGATGCAGACCGGTGATCCTGGAGTTCCTGTGTTGGAGGAAGCAGCTGGCTTTCCTAGCAGCATTCAGCAGCATCCTGGTCACACAGACTTTTCTACACATTTCAGCTTTGACAGGTAAATGAGAATTGCTATGCTTGTATGATAGTCCTGATGGATTTTACAGGCAAATCTAAGAAGGTCAAGTATGTGGTTTCAAGGAAAGCCCATTTTCCATTCTGCCCATTCCTGAAACGTTTATATGCCCAAAGTGAAAGCTTATAAGCGAGACAATATAATTTTTACATCAAGCCATCTCAGTGAGCATGTCAATCAAAAGAAGCTCTGAAAACACTCTGTAGGATGTACAAATCAACTGAAGCTTTACTGAAAAAAGGTCTGTACACCAGCTTGGGTAACAGCTGTCCAGAGATTGTCTKTGATAGTGATGGGAATTATGAATACATTTGCATTATTTGCCTTTTGTATTTTTAAAACTAAATCTCCCAGAGAGATGCCATACTGACAAATTGGTCTAGATMGCAGCACACTGTGGCAGGTCGGTGAAGCTCTAATAGGCATTCGTAAGGATAGTTAGCCAAGGAGCAATCTACAGATTTTGTGCATGATAAACAGGCTTAATTGTATATACAAAAGAGGTTAGGAATGGTCTAATTTGTTTATCTCTGAGGAGCAGCTTCTTATGAAACATTGTATAAAGGCTGAGCATGCAGTTGGTGCTGCAGTGTTGGGCAGTGGAGAAATCGATGTTAAAGAAGTATTTTTATTACAGTGTACACACATCTAAGGGAGAAAACACCAGAGGTGAATTGTATCTCTAATCTATCAAGGAAGGACATGTAAAAAATGCTGGTATTAAACTAACAATCAGTTAATTTGAACTAAAAACCAATACTTATGTTGTTCTTGGTGGGAGTGATTGAAACAAGTTATTGGGAGAAGTGATGGATTCTCCATCTATCAATGCCTCACAGAGCCAGCATGTACTTGAAAAWAWATATATATATATTTTTGCCAAGTACAAGTTATTCAAGGGTAGTTTGAAGGGCACTAGCTGATGGTCTGAAAATCCCTTCTAGATTCAAACTCACTGCCACATGTACTTAAGGTGAGATAGAAAATACAATGGATGCGACAGGTTTGTTTTGCAAACTAAATGAAAGAAGACAAACAATAAGGACCACTGCAGCCTGAGAGAAGTAAGGCTCCTGTGCTTGAAACAAATAAGYTGTGGGATGTGAATAAATACCTCATGCTCCTACAGCTACCGGAGGCTGTACAGACTTTTCTTGTGATGCTCTAAGGAACACATACTSTACTCATGAGATCCCTCTTAGCTTAAATATACTTCAATTCAGATACCATATGCATAAATCAGTTCGGATACACAAACCTGCATCATGAAAACAGCTGGAGTACTAATTGCAAGAAATGCTTTCCAAATTAGATATGGAAATTAGAAAGGTGGTAACATGTTATAGTAGCATTTGTGCAATTATAGTACAAAAGATATATGTGGCAGGCACTTGATCTTCATATGCCTATATTTCTTGTCAGTTCTCTAATTTTTCAATTCYTAAGCCCCTGACAAGGATGCTACATGCTTACTTGTGCAGGAAACATCTTGCTGCTGTATCATAGAGAAGAACACATTCCTGATCTTGAGGGCTCAGCCCGCAAAAATCCTCTGCAGAGGATTTTCAACATCTTCACCTGGGGGAAAAGGCTGATTTTTAGACATGCGTTTACATCCACACAGCCTAGCTATCCATTTTGGGAAACAATAGTGGTAGAGTTTCTGGCATGAATTGTTTTTTCTGCCCTTAGAGGCAGGCAGCAAAGGTTTATTTGAGTGGTTGCCTCCCTGGAATGGGAAAATGTGAACCGTGTCTAGCTGCAGTGCTGTGCTATTTTTTTGTCAAGGAACTTCTGCTATAGGATAAACAGGAGAGAGGGGACAAGACTCAACTGTCTGATTCAGAAGTCTGGAATCTCCAAAGTCTGTGCAAAGGTTTTAATCCAGCAATAACATGTGTTTTTCGTTTGTCTCTTTTGGGGGGCTGTTAAACCTTTATATGCAATTTAACTTGCRGCATATGCTCCCAAAATCATGTGGCCTTGCTCCTTTACCAAACAGGAGTCCTCATCGTCATTATCTGGCAAAAGTTCAGATCCTTGTCATTTCCTGGGCACTACCATTACATCAGTGTTATCAATGGAAGAGCAAAGGCTTCTCTGAGCTGCTGTGGATTCATCATCACCATAAAATCCTATTGATTCTCCATATCTGGAATATAGTTTTTTAGCTCTGAGTTTAAACTGGAAGTACTAAAGCACACTTTCAGTGCGGTTTGCCTTGAAATTGGGTCAATTTCAGATAATATTCACAAATAGGTCCATAATTTGGATTCTTTGTTTGAATCTTCTGTTTCAGAGTGTTTCAGTCTTAAAAATTAATTTTGGTCCATAGTGAACAGACATTTTGTAACAAGTACTTTTCAAATGGAAGTTAGATACTTTTATTTTCTCTAGTTATTCAACAAATGAGATTTCTTATTAAAGCATTTTATTCTATTCTGTCCCTAAATGAAATTCCAAGCTGTGCCTATGGGGCTATTTGTGCCACCAGACTGTTGTACCCAGGGAGTATGGATTGGTAATTGTATGAAATGTCTATTTTAAAAGAAAAGAAAAAATTATAAATAGCTAGAATTAGGAACTGATTCTAGTTATGGAGTGTTATAAGCTCAAATCTTTGAACAGTGAATTTTTGTAAGGTTTGTTAGCTCTTTGAAAACCTAGTCACAGGTTTGGGTTGAGTTCGTACTCAAGTGCAAAGCAAGCGAAATACCACATTTCTTATGATCTCAACCTCAAATAAAGCATTGCAGTATCAACCRTCTTAAGATCTACATTTGTTCAGAATTGGATCCCAAGTCATATAGATCTCTCAGAATCAAGCCTGWTCAGCTGTGTGTAACTCAGAAGGAACTATTAAGGTGCAAAATACAAACTTCACATCCATTTTTGAAAAAAAAAAATCAAAATCAAAAAATACTGTTGTATGCTTACTTACCTCTTTTCAGGAACCAGGCAAGCGTATGTCCATTTAGCTTTATAGTCATCTGACTGCAAATCTCTGCATAGCACAAGCCAGAGCCAGAACAGAACTTCCCTGCTCATTGAACCTTAGACTGACACAAGGAACAAAGGTACTAAAATACTTGGAATTCTTCCCATCTTTCTCTACTATGGATAAAGMCACATCTGTCTTATCAAAAGTCAGRACCTTGACTAATAATCACTATTTAATTAGATTTTTGTGTTAGCTGTCTTCTATCAAAACATTTTTTCCCGAGTTCAGGCTCTCTTTCTTCAGCTTTCTAACAAAGGTCTCTTCAGTGCTGAATCGCTCCCTCTCCTATTTTTTTTTTTTAGCTTTATTTTATAAGGAATCTAGTTTGCTGGCACTCTATGCTCCATTGCTTTTTGAATTAGGCAAGTTCTTAGCAGATTGTTCTTAGAGTGTTGCCAGCAGATTGATACGAGTACATCCTTCCCTAGGGATGTACATAATCTTCTCCTTCCCCATCAAGGGGAGTGTGATTACAACAGAGTGCGGTGTGACAGATGTGGATATTATAAACAGCCTGTCAGCACTTTCTGGATGACTCAGGCATTGCTTTTCCCTCCTACCAAACACTGATAGAAGGTGCTGTGTATTTCTGTGTTGTAAATCCTCATCTGGAAACTCATACCCATTCATTCCCATACTGTATTTTATCCAAATACTGATAGTAGTATGTTACAATGAATGTAAAATCTGTGCAGTCCTTTGTTCCTTCATCTGTCCAGTTGTTCCTTCCGTCCGTCCTTCCGTCCGTCCTTCCTTCCGTCCTTCCCCTCAAATAGTTGGGATGGGGAGGTTGCATGTGTCTCGAAATAGAAACAGCCTAGATTTGCATTTATCAGGTGTTATCACCAGATCTTCCACTTATTGCCTTTTAAAAAATTTCTGTGTTTTGCATCATTTTTTTTCTGATAAGACAGAACTGTTCTGAGTTCTGTTCTACATTTTTTTTTTTATCATGTGCTAAGGTAACTGCTCCAATCGTCCAGCTCATGGCCCACTGGTCCTCAGAGTCTATTTTTTCATTGTTACAAAACTGTAACAAAATCTGGGAAGCACTCTGCCTTGTTGTACATTTTGCACTTACATGAACACACAGTTTAAAGACTCTTTGTTCCTAGAGGTCCTACTTTCTTGTAATTCATTTTGTGCTGAATAAAATGAAGGGCTATCCATTTTACCCTGCCTTGGAAACCAAGAAAATGAAGGAAGCTCAAAAAGAAAAGCAAACCTCCATAAAAGTTTTAATAGCTTATTTTTAAGAGAAGAAATAAACAGTGGAAACAAATAGCTCTTTGCATCCAAATGCAAATGTAGCTAAAGGGACCTTTAAACATTTTGACTTCTTCTTTAACATATAGTCCTGTTTTCTCTGTGTTGGTGCCTGAGCCCCAAACAATCATACAGAGGCAAAAAAGAACCACTTTCACGGCTTTAAATCTCTCTGAATCTGAACCTCAGCAAATTGGACCTGAGCACATTAACTAACCACAGGAATCAACTCTCCTTTACAGCCATGTCCCTCATGGAGATAGTGGATAAACCTGTTCCTAACTACTCATTTTTATTGCAAGACTATTTATGGGAAGCATAATCATTACGGAGTCCATGCCAGAAAAGGTCATACTCCAAATGAATTCTCAGTGTTGCTCTAAGTCTAATATCACACCGTTCTCCAKGTTCAAGGATAACCTATAAAAGGCATAAAGGTTCCTTTTCCATCAAGTGGAAGATCCTATTCTTTTAGGGGAGAGAAATAAGAGCTCACAGCTCTAATCGGATGCTACAAGAAATAAACACAGAGATTATTCCTATCAGCAACTTCATCAGTGAGTTGGTGGATAAGATGTGTTTACACATGCATTGAACAATTACAAACAGAAGTCTTGACTGGAAAAGAAAGGCCTGCATTCACAAGATAAATTATCTGTAATAAATCACAYGAGCAACTCTACCTGCAAGGAAACCTCCTTCAGTGCAGCTGCTTTCAGGAGGTACCAGCCAAAACAGGCAAGGTGCATGTAGGACAACCTGAAAGGAACAAGGAGAACTGTTTGTCTTTCTCAGAGGCTGCTGTTCCCATGTCTGCTGTTTCACTCAGTCCTCTGTTAGGATGAAATTCATTCAGATTAGGGGTTTTTTTCCCCCACATTTTGGGTTCCTATTTACATTTGTTAAGGTTAGTAAACCTGACAACTTCTTCACRTTCTCACCAGGGAGCAGTCACTGACAAACCATGGGAGGGACTGCAACAACATTCTCCAGAGACAGCAAAATCTGTGCGTTGTAGTCTATTATATATTCCTTCCTAGTAAGAGCCCTGCTTATATCTTGTTGGTGTAAATCAGCACAGAGCTGCTGGCTTTCCCAGAGCTATGCTGATTTGCATCGCCTGCACCTCTGACTGCCTATTCTTGCTGCTGATCTTGCCAAATATTCTTCTAATGGCTGTGGTGATGACTTGATGTTCAAGTCCACTTTGCTCTTTCAGAGACTTTCTAGGTGTTTCTGGTTCTATATCTTCTATGCCTGTGCCACAGGCATAAAACCTTAAATGCCAGCTTTAAAGTGTTCTGTTTTGCCTATAGCATGTGCAAGAAGGATTTTTTTTTAAGTGCTGGCAGAAAGGAGAAGTCAGGCAAGACATATTTTTGACCACTGGTGAGGTTATGTGGCTTTAGAAAAGAAAATTACAGTAAGTGAGGAAACTCATTGAGAAGAAAGGATTGCACTGAACTTTTGAAGGCAATATATAATCTGTTGTGTGGCCACATATTCCTCCTGTTGGAGAAGGACTCTCAGTGTAGCTGAGGCAGACACATCCATGAGTCTGAGACACTCATCTCTCAACTTCCTTCTTCTTCCCACACCCCRCAGAAGACCACAAAGCCAGACCAAAGATTCAAGCAGGCAAGTAAGGCCTAAGGATCCCATGACCACATGCCTGCTCTTAGCTTTAAATAAATGTACAGTAAAATGCAAGAGCTAAATGAAGTCTAGGGTAAAATAATTTACTTATATTTACAACAGTATAAAAAGCAGGAACAGTCATTGTGCCCAAGCTGATGTTTGGTTTCTTATTACCAAGGGAATGAAGTCCTATATTTGAGTCCTTGTATAGAGTATTTTCTCTTCCCCTCATTCCTGACTTCAGCACAAGGAGGCAGGAATGGGAAGCTGGTGACAGGGTTTAAAAAYGTCTGCTTTGCAGACTAGGTTTTCCAGAGATTCATCCCCAAGGCTTGCAAGGCATTTTATTAGATAATTTCATTCTTTTGCCTGTGCTCTTGCCTTTAATGAAGTCTGGCTTTATCACTGCAGTGTTCACCCATGGAAAGATCTCTCACCACAGYGCCTCAGTGTTAGAGATCACAATAATAAATGTCTCCCCAAAGCAGATTGAAGTTAGAGCAGTGTGAAGAGGTCGAATTCTTGCTGTTAGCGACCTTGTGGTGAAGACAGTAAAAGTCACTCTTTATTAGCACCTTTAGCCTCTGTGACAAATGATACTGCTATTTCCATGGGAGTTCCAACAACAAATGYTTCACGTGGCCGGGTGCTAATCATAGTTGTTTTCTTGCACCCTATGATTATCTCATTGCTCCTCTACCTCTAATACCACCCTAGTGGTTTGGAACCAGAAAAGGTATGGCTTGCTGTTAGTTCATCTTCGTAATCTTATGTCATATCTTCTTTGCAATGGGATTTTTCTATCACAAAGTTCCAGTGCACATCCCCTGTGTGAAGTTTTAATCTGGTCCTTAGTCAGAAAAATCTCATGTGGTGATTAATAAAGGAAGAAAGATWGGATAAAAGTCATGTAAGGTCATGAAGATTTGGCCCTGAGTGAAGGCATTAAATATAAATGCAGATAAGAAAGGTAGAAGGGAGAAAAAATACTAGTGGCTTGCATGCAGCTTTTCTTCAGGAATAAATAAATTCAGAACATTTTTAGATATAAGCTGAATAGAGTATAATGCTGTATTTGTCCTCAGTTTGTATCACAACTGAGAAGAGTGAAAAATTGCCTCATCTGTAAGAGTTTGGCATATAATGAGCTTCTCATTGGCAGTCCTAATAGCTTTGCTCTGAACAGATAGCTGCAGCAGGGGAAATGTCACTCGTTCTAGTGGTTATAGAGCAGCACCTCAGAACCACAGGTTTCCTTCTGCAGCTCAGCAGGCTGCTCAGAAATACAGACACTTTTTTCTGTATGCTATGGACCATCAGTTGCAGGCATATGTATAGCTATAGATTCATGCAAACAGAGGAAAGAAACAAAAATGTACATATAGAAGGGGAAAAGGGTAAAAATGGGTAGTTTAGAAACAAATGTAACTGTTTCAGTATTGTACACCGTTGTTTGAATG